TGAAGCCTCTCGCCGCCCCTGAGCCGCTGGCCTGTAGCCCAGTTCTGTATGCACAAATAAATAAATCTTTAAAAAAAAATTTTTTTTTAATTAAAAAAAATGGCTCTGGACATTGCCAAATGTACTTGGGGAACAAAATAGACCCTGGCTGAGAAACACTGAAATCTATTATATATATATGCAATATACATAAAATATAATCTTTTGAATATTGTAAATGTTCCATGTTCCATAATAAGACAAAGTTTAAAAGTGATAAGTAGAAGCAAAACTCTGCTTGTGAATCACAACTAGGAGAGTTAAGAGCCGAGAAAGAGCCTGCTGATGGCCTGTGATGAGAAAGTGCAGAGCCGTGGGAGCTGACAGTTTCAGGAGGGTTTTGACTAGCAGCAGATGTTTCTAGAAACGATACTAGGTATTTGACTTCAGGGACACTGGAAGAAAATTTCTACAACCTTTCTCCATTCTTTGGGAACTCCTAGAGTTTAGATTAGCCTTTTAGGGCACTGTTACATTTTTATAATTTATGATAGAATTAAGAACAACGAAAGGGCTTTCTATTTATATGAGACCTAAGGAATTGAGGTAAATACACATATATTTTGTATCTTTGAGGAGGCGACTATGACTATAAAGTTACTACCTTCTACCTGTGGTCTCTGAATGACTGATATTTTCAGAAATAAGATCCAGATCACATCACACCGCTACTGGGAGGTGATGATTGCTGACATCCCACACTCACCACTTCACTCTGTTAATCCAAAAGCCTCCCCAAGGATGTGACTTGATGGCATCTATCTGGTTCTTGTACTGTTGTTCCACTGAACCCTTCATGAGGAGGGTTTATTACTCTTATTTTGAAAATGGAAAAACAAGACACAAAGAGGGTACATAACTTTTTTTAAGGTAACATAATTGATTCAGGGTAATTGACTAGAAATAGAATTGACATGGAAATTGGGCCTACTGACTCTTGGTCTGTTTTTAATCTGTCCTTGAACTATGTTTGCGTGTGTGTGAACATGCATGCACACAGACTTGTGTGTGAGTGTACGTGTGTGTGTGTGTATAGGTGGTTTGGGAGAATGTGTGTATTTCTCTGAAGGCAGAGAGAGACAGGCAAAAGATTAAGGAGAGAGCCAGAAGGGGTGTGGTAGGGAGTATCAGACTCAGAAGAATCCTTGGGCAAGACATTTGTGGCTCTCAGTTCTCGAACTGTTAAAAACTCACAGAATGATTGAAAAGTAAAATGCAGTATGTATGTAATAACACTTTATATTTCTTTATATAAATGTTACTGTTATTTAAAACATAGTGAAGATGATAACACCACCCTCACAGGTAGGATAATTTACGTTTTTTCGTTTTTAGGCACAAGCCCTTACCACATATCCAATTCAGAAGAATAGTCAGTGGCTCCCAGCAAGGCATCAGGAGGGCGATACCAGAGCGTCACAACTTCTGAAGAGTATGTCTGGCTAGGAATGGACTTGGCTCGAGCAAGACCTGACCAGAGGGGAAAACATAGAAATCATTATGCTGGTTTTTCCTGGGGAGCCAAAGAGATGCATTCTGCCATGGAGTTAACTGGCAGCACAAACATTTTAAAAATAATGTACAAACTTTGCGTGCGTTTAGTACAACTGCTCAACTCTTTGATCCTTGTGGAATTCTCATGTGAAACCAAGTGAATTTCTTAACTTCTGGCCTATTTTACAACTACAAGTGGCCTTCCTCACAACTAAGTGGAGTAAGGCGACTAGTTTCTTGCCTTATCTGCACAGGAGTGATACATGAACTTGTAGTTCACATGCTTAATGGGGAGGTTAGCATTCTCCCCTTTGCTCCTTCCTTCAGCTGCAAGGTGAGGGGGTGACAGCCCTCTAGCTGAATGCACATGGGGCAGTACTCTAGGCATGCTGGGTTGCCACAGCAGAGCAGACCAGGAGACCACACAATCTCTGCTTAGGTGTGTGAGAAAGTTAAGTTTCTAGTTTTTATAGTTTTGGGTCTCTGTAATAACAATGGAACTCAGTCCAAGGTTACGATGCCACCCTCCATTTTTGCAGTCCAGAAACTCCTAGGCCACAGATATAGGATGGCAACTGCTAATCCAACCTAGTTTGTTCGGTAGGATCTCTGAGGAGTCATTTTCGAGTTCCTCTGCAAATGAGAATTTTTTTTTTTTGAGAAATTTTTTTTAAGTTGACTACTTATCTCATAGAATGATATGGTCTACAACTAGGAATAAGCAAACCTCAATAAGTAGGTTTGCTGTTGTGGGAAGTTGATAAGCATTCAAATGTCCAGATGGGAGCTCATCTCATAATAAAGGGTTATAGCTATTTTCCCATCATTTGACATCTTCCAAACAGAACAGTGGGTCCTCAGCTCATGCAAGCCAGTTAATTTTTTTTATTTTAAATTTGACAATTTTGTTTTTATAATTTATTGACTTTAACATAGGTAATATTGGGATATCAGGTTATCACCACTGTATTGTACCACCACCAACTCACCCATGTTCCACCACCACAGACCACTGTGCTGCCTTCCAGAAGCCTTTGGCCTTCTGTCTCCCCCAGCACCCCACCACCACCTGGCTCTTGAAGGTTCAGTTCTACAGTCAGCTATCAAGGGTTAGTTTTTAATTTTGTATGTATCTGACTCTTGGTTTAGTTATGTTATATTCTACATGTTAGTGATACCATTCAGCATGTATCTTTCTTCTAACTTATTTTACTTAGCACTGTCCCTTCAAAATCCATCTTTGCTGCCACAAACGGCAGGAGGTTATCGTTTTGGATAACTGAGGAGTATGCCATACAGTATGTAAGCCACATCTTGATCCACGCATCTGTTCTGGGACACTTACAGTGTTGCCATGTTACTATTAATATGGCTGTAGTTAGTAGGGCTGCAGTTAACACGAGAGTGCAGGTTTCCCTTAGAATTAGAATTCTTTTGGGTAGATAGCTAGAAGTAGACTTACTGGAGCAAATGTCAGATCCACGTTTACTGCAAAGCAGTTTTTTTAAACCAATATTTATCAAACAACAACTATGGAGCCAGCCGCTGGAGATGTAAAGATAAGCAAAGATGGACTCAGGCGGCCCTCACAACATGCACAGTGCAGAGGAGGAAACAGAATCATCACACCCATATAAGAGTATAAGTATAAAACTGCAAGTGCTAACATGGAAAGATATAGTGATACTGGAGAAAGCTACATCACTTAGATGAGAATAAAAATCTCAGATATCTTTAGAGTCACATCTGCATCAATACACATGTAGACAAGAGCCCTGAAGCTGCCATCCCAGCAGGAATCTACCTATATCTTGGCATTTACCTCTCTTTACCCTGCCATGCTGGGATAACCTTGATCTACTCGGATAGAAATTGTGTATGCACAGATTTGGGGAAATGAACTAAGTATACATCACCCTTCAAATCTCTCTGTATCAAAAATGAGGTGAGGTGGTAGAGGTGCCTGTGTTTTAGGATCTGATTAGACTGGGGTGTCATGGGATCCCAAGAAGCTAATGATCCCCTGTTTCTTGCCCTACATTTCCTATATGGTGCTTTGATATCCTCACAACGGTTCGGATTCCCCAGGCCTCTACTTTTCAAAGGCCAGGCCTAGTCAATGCTTTAAACATGTGCACACAAAAGCATCATTGTTCACATCCCAGAAAGAGACTCGAGGGGTGACTTACCAAAATCAGCCAGTTTGAGCTCTCCCAAGTGACTGAGAAGTAAGTTCTGAGGTTTCAGGTCCCTGTGAAGAACGTGTTGGTGGTGGATGTATGCCAGGCCTCGCAAAAGTTGAAACATAAAAAGCTGGAAGGAATGAACACCTTATCTAAGCAGATTTGAGCCACTATGTGTTGATTTCTCCTCTAAATCAAAAACAGTCATCTGAAAGAATATAGTAAAAGTGTCTCTTGAGAGACCAAAAAAGAAAAAGAAGAAGAAGAAAACGGAGATGCAATTTTACATTCAGAGGGGGAAAAAAACGACCAGGAAAGTAAGTTAGTAGAACAGGTCCTAAACAAAGGGATTCTGACTTTTTCTGACATCTCATTTCTTTGATACAGAAGGCATCAGACTTCCTTAAATAGCTAAAGTGAAACTTTGAAGTTTCCTTTGGAACACTGGTTATTGATTTAGATGTGAGATATTTAATTTTTTTATTTCCCACCAATGAACTTTGGCATATGAGATCAAAGTTGACCTGGAAATGATATTCTAAGGTTTACAACTATTTCAGTTTTCTATGCACTCTGCTATGAATCCTTTTAAAAACACAAGGAGACCAGACCAGGAAATATATCCTTAGATGGTATTAGGAAATAAAGGAACTTTATAGGTTTATCTTTTAAACCTATTTTTAAAATCTCAAGTTCAAAGTTGAAAACAAGGGATATATACACTATAGACCAAGAGGGAGGATAAACCGAAGGAAATTATCCCTCAACAACAAAAAAGCATATTCTGACTCCAGATTTGAAAATGTAGTTTGTGGCTATAAGATACAGAAACTAAATATTATTATATTCCCCCCCCCCAATACTCCAATACAAAAGCTTAAGGAGGGGGAAAAAAAAGCTCACTATTCTGTGTTGTTTGCTCTTTTCCATTGCCAATGGCAATTGAGAATTCCATCACCGAGTATTGTTTACGAAGACCTACGCCATCTGAGAACATGTTCTGGCAGTTTAGAAAAGAAGGGCCAGTTCTGACATTCCTGGGACAGAGGCAAACAGCAGATGTCGGCCTGTGCAATCCATCCACTTTTCCCATCACATCTTGGCAAGTAGGAGCTTCAGAGCTGCTGGGGCCTGCACAGACCTAATAGTGACTTGGAGACGCTGAGTAAATGGATGATCAACAAAGCATGAGCAAAGCAGGAGCTGGGGCGTTTATGTAGCACAGCTGTGGTTATGTGGGTTCCATGCAGGTCCCATACCAGGTTCACAAGATAGCAGGAATGTCAAGCGTTTCCTGAGACTTCCTACTTCAGTGTTCATTGGCTCTGATGCTTCCCAATGCTTTTTCTTCCAGGGGCTTCAAACAAACATCCTTCCCATTTAACCACTCGTCACCGTCTTAGCTACCAAGCCACAAAATTCCTATGCTGAGATTTAATATTGACAGTCTAATCAGTTATAAATCAAAATGCCCATGGAAAAGATAATGCAAAGACTAACTTAAATGCCGTAGTCTGTACTTAAAAGAGTTACTCAATCTGCTAGTGCTAAGGAAAGAGGGAAATGGAGACAGGTAAGATAGTGACCAGTGAGGGCTAGAGACAGAAGGAAGAAAGAGAGGATAACATTTATGAAATGCCTAGCACCTCCTGTCATCCTTAAAACCAGTTGGTGGGGCAAATAAGCATGCTCTTGATTTACAAATAAGAGCTCTAGGGATCAAGCAGACTTCAAAACATGTCTAAAGAGTGAGGGCCAGGACTCAAACTTAGACCTGCTAATTCCTCTACACCACCCTGGGGAAAGTCAGAACATTATACCAGGCAGGGAAGGAAAGAGTTGGCTGACTGAGTTGGAGACAGAGCCTCTCCTGGCCACTCTGAATGCTTTTCATGTCCCAAGTATAGGCTGTTCTCACTAATTAACTAGTCACACCCACCAGCCGCCTTCTTGTTCTTCAGTGTCTTTCTACCTTGGCTCCACCAATGTCTATAGGCGTTTGTGAAAGTTAAAGTTCGGTCGTATTAAGGTATGATATTTCATAGCCACAATTCTCAAGCCTGCAGTCTCTGCTAACTAACCTCACCACCCACTCACTCTTTAATCCCTTGCAACCTGAATTGTTGCCTCAACACCATCGAAGCTTTACCAGTAATATGACCAAAATGGATGGTGTCTTCTCAGTCAACATTGAGCCAGACCGTGGGTGACTCTTTCCACAGAGGTTTCCCATTCCCCAGGGCTTCATCTTGTTTCCAACACAATGAGGTTCTTGGGAACAAAAGAATTTTGTGGATTAGTGCCACCTGGGCTGGAATCCCTCAAAAACACAATCAGATCTGTCAGCCAACTCCTGCAGGGAAGACTTGGCCTTCCCACTCATCAGGAATACCTGGAACTTGTTCTTTTAGAAATTAAACACAGGCCAGTCTATGGTTCCCTTCTTGTCTTCTATGGCCATGACTCCATGACTATTAAACTCCTCCAACTCCCAGCACCACTTCAAAACCATTACTTAAACCACTCTTAAGTGGAAATCCCTGTTCCTGGACTTTCATGCCATTTGACAATGTCTCCCCACTGCATTCATGCTATTCTCCACCACTCTCCATCATTCCCGAAAAACTTGGGAACCCAGGAGACAGTTGTCTCCTTAACATCAATTCCTAAAACATCAACCTTCTCAGCAATAAGGTCACACACTGGGTCTTGCCATCAAATGCAAGCTTTTGTCTTTTGCATGAGGAATTCACATTCCCATAAGATGACTTCTGTCATGATCTTCACTCAGAATGACTTTTACTTTGGTCCCCAACGCCTTTTGTGCTGGGCACCCAATGCACATCTCTCTCTATTTCTCTCTGCAGCTCTGGTGGTGTTGACGATGTTCCTCTGCCTGAAGCTCGTTCTCTCATTGTGTACAACCATTTCTTAATTGTTCTTTTATTGGTCTAGCTGTTCTTTTCATAGGTTCCACCTTGCTGATCTCTAATATGTTGATTTCCTTAGGGCTCCACACTTGACTTGCTTCTCTTATCATCTAAACACTCTCCCTTTGCCATCTTATCACAGACATTGCTTTAATTAACAACCCTATTCTGATGAGTTCAAAAATCTCATCTTCAACTCAGATCCCTTTCCTGAACTTTAGACCAAAGTGCAGCTGGACATCCCTTAATCAACTCAAAGCCAGCATGTCCACAGCTTACCTTTACTATATTCTCTAAAATCTACTTGCCTGTCTGTGCTTTTTTTTTTTTTAACTCAGGAAATGGCATTATCATCATCTAACTATGCAAAGCTAGAAAAATAACTGCTGCTTCCTTCATTGCAGTCAGTTGTAAGGAACTGATTGCATGTTACTTTCCTCCACCATCATCTTACATCTGTATCACTATTGTCCTTATTAGCCTTAGTCAAGGTTGGAAACCTGGGAGACACCAGCATTTACAGAATGAGAACAAGAAATGAGTACAAGGGTAGGAATAGAAGAAAAAAACAAGAATATATGGTCAGGGAACTATATCAGTAAAAAAAGAATATTACCCTCCCTTCAATCTATTTAGTGTGATGTAATTGGAGTGATCTTTATAAAATGAAATCAGAATGATCAACTCCTAGTTTAAAATCATTTAATGACTCTTCATACAAAGTAGCATGACATTGTTTGGCTCTTCATGTTATGGCTCCTGACTACCTTTCAGTCTCGTCTCTAATTACCCCGACAGCTAATTTTAAAGTGCAGCCTTCCTGAATTATCTTTAGCTTTTGGAATGTGCCATGTCCTCTCTGGCATTCTGCATTGTCACTGCTGCCTCTACTTTGGGAAACTCATCCTTACTCCCACTGATTTTGGTTGGATAATGTCTTCATTGTGCCTCCATATAACTCCAACATTTCCTTCTGTTTATTAGCACGTCCCTCAAATGTCTACAAAGAGCTTGCTGTCAAATATGATTCTCAGTGTCATTTTTTAATGCATCAGCTACTCTCCACCACACCCTCCTTGAAATGGTCCTTCCCATGACTTTCATGAAAATCTGTTCTTCTGGATCCTTTAAGTTCCTAAAAGATGCTTCCCTTGGTCCCTTGTTTTTTTATTCTTCCTTTCATCCCTTAAAAGTAGAGGCTTTGGGGCCCTCCATGGTGGTGCAGCGGGTTGGAGTGCTGCACTGTGAAGCTAAGCCAAGCCTGGCCACTTCAGTGCAAGTTCGATCCCTAACCTGGAGGTGACCCACATGGCTGGGCGGACTTCTCCTGTCTCGCCCACTGCTTCCTTCAGCAGTGTACTTTGTCGATCTGCCTGTTCTGCTCCCCACTCTGTTTCTGGTGAATCCTTGCGCCAGAATCCCTCTGGCCTGTACTCCATTTCTGTATGCATATATAAAATCTTTAAAAAAAAAAAAAAGGTAGAGGTTTCATCACTTGCTATGCCTAAAACAAGAAAAGGCCTCTTCCTCTCCCAGCCAACTTCTCCTATTCCTGTTAATAAAACTATAATTCTCCTGGTGAACCACACTCAAAACTGGCCTGATTTAGCACCATCCTTTCGCTCTTCACACACAGTTAGTCACCATGTCCCCCCTGAATTTTTCTTTGTTTCCATTTTTCACATTCCTTTCCATTCATACCTTTGCTACCATAATTTAAGCCATTGTTACTTCTTAGCTAGACCCATCTAACTGAAATGTAGTCCTCAACCACTAGCATCTATAGTGATCACCTAAGAACGTGTTGGAAATTCACAAACTCAGAACTCACCCTAGACTTACTAAATCAGATCCCCAGGTCATTCGTCTGTTCATTGAAGTTTGAGAAGCACTGGGCTAGACCACATCAATAAACTCCTAACTGGAATCCCTGACTCCAGTCTCCCCTCTTTAATCTATCCCACAGACCACAGTTACATAAATTTCCTTCTGATCATGTCATTCTCTCTCAACTCAAACCCTTTTAATGACTCAACTGTCTAAGGAATAAAGTCCACATCTTAGAAAGTGAGGCTGTCAGCCATCTCCCCAATCTATTTCCTCAGACTTATGTATCCTATTTCATGAATATATTCTACATTTCAGGCCAACAGGAACAGAGTATGGCACTAGTGGAAAGAAATCTTAACAAAAAATCACTTTTAGCAAAGCCAAAACCTGATTCTATAACCTCTAACAAAATATTTGTCCTTTCAAGCTTTGGATTCCAATTCTGCAAAATGAGGAACTTAGTTAGAATTTTTAAATCTTTTTTGACTGCAACCCACAGAAATAAATATATGTGTGTGTGTATACATATATATAGATATATATATAATACTTACTATATAAACATATATACACATATATAATGCACATACATACATATATGTCCAAAGTTCAAATCCATATATAGATATAATTTCAACTAGAACAAACATTGCACAAAATAATAATTACACTAAATACTATGTGCAACACACTTATTTTCTATCCTCCCTCATCCATTCTGCTTCATTTTAAAAAATGCTGATTGTTAATCATCAAATGGACTTTAGAACCCACTAATAGATCAGAACCCAAAGATTTGAAAGACATGTTGGTCCCTCAACCCTTAACAGTTCAAGACTTTTGGATCCTTGAGCACATTCTCATTTCCCAGTTCCTTATCTTTGATGAGGAGATTCTCTCTTCCTGTAAAATCTTCCTCTATTCCAGTCTCTTCAAATACAGTGTTTTTGTTTTGTGTCCTGACTTAACAAAACCTCTTAAATGAGAAGCCTGTTACTTCTTTGCATGTCTACAAAACTAGGTCTTACTCCCTCTTTGGCATTATTCATAAATATTCTGTAATATTATTGGTATATGTGTCTTTTCCCCCCTTTTTTTCTTTCTTGCTTTGTGTTTAGTAAGTGCCTTGAGGACAATAATCATGTCTTCATGTTTTTTTTTATCCTTCACAGCTTTTAACACAGCATCTATTATGTGTGGTCACTGAAGCCTGAAAATTTTTTTCAGTTTTTCTTTCCCATCCCCTCATTCTTTGCTCTCCATAGCTGTTAGCAACCTGCATGTCTTCACTTCCTTCCTTAGTTTATATTTGGTTCAATCTCTTCAATTCTCTGCCCAACTGTCTTTTCATCTCACATATCTGGCAAAAACCCACCTCTCAGTCAATCCAGCTACTTTCTCTACACCTCGATTCAAATTTCTAAGTATTGCCATTACAAAGAATTCCATGATCATGCAGATAATTTAATGGTTTTCATCTTCACCAGGGCCCTTAACTTATCACCAGACTTTCCTTCTTGGCTTCCCTAATTAGTTTTCTATCCCACTTTCACCTTAAAGATTTATTTAGAACTGGGGTACAGGCCAGAGGTGCAGGGGAGGTGAGAGGATTCACCAGAGACAGAGTGGGGAGCAGAACAGGCAAATCGATGAAGTACACTGCTGAGGGGAGCAGCGGACGGGCCAGGAGAGGTCTGCTGGGCCATGTGGATCACCTCTGGAGTGGGCGGGGATCGAACTCATGCTGAAGTGGCTTTAGCTTCTTAGTGCTGTGCTTTAACCTGCTGCGCCACCAGGGAGGGCCCCCACTTTTACTTTAATAGCTATAACACTGTTTTTTAACTCTTTTCAACCTTCTATCCTCAAGCTTTGCCTTCTTGCTGCTAAAAATGGATGAGTTTCCCTTTCTTGGGAGTCTTCATAGTATTCCTAGCTAACTGGACCACAGCCCTTATCAATTTGCTTCTTTAAGCTCATTGAAAATAAGAAACAATTTATTATTGAAACCTCAGAACTTAATGATAAATATTTCTTGAATGAAATAATAAATGAAAAAATTAAATAATAGGAGAATTAATACATTATATATGAATTTCATAAGGTTATATTTCTGGTCAAACAATGAATGCTAATAACACCTTAGGAAATGAAAAATATGAACTACAAGTGGCTTCTAAAATTTATAACAAGTGTAGCATTACCTCTAGTTAAGAGCTTATTATTATTTATATTCCAATGACTGGAAAATTAGAAGTTAGTCCTGATGTAGATTTTTGGAGATGAGTTTGGAGTGTGGGATCCTTGGGTTTACTATAGGAAAAGTTTCACCAGAGCTCCCCTTTCTGCGACACATGGCAAGTTTCCCAGGCGAGTTTCTCCACAAGACAGAGACATTAGTTACATTTAAAGAGCAGGTTTGTTAGAAAAGGGACAGCATTAGATTTTATCCTCTTCTTTTGGTAGGAAGGGGCTCATCTTTGTGAGTGTTTAGATTCTTGCTGATTCTGGACAACTATGTCAAATCAGAAAGGAACTAGAGACTTCACAATGGGCCTAGTCTCTATAGCTGTACCCTCAGGTGTGTGCTTCTGACACTCCCTACAGCAATCTGACACCTTCTTGAGCCTATGTCTTAGGATCAGGCACTAGAGCCTAAGGATCTTGATTTCTATGACTGGGTTGGTTAATGGTCATGTTAATCCCTTCTACCCCGACCTCCTTGTGTGAGTCAGATTTTAATCTTGTGATGGCTCCTTTTAGGTTTTCTTTTTGTTCCTCCATCAGTTCCACATATAATATCTCTTGAACAAGCAAAAGGGTAACTGATTAAGAGCCAGCAAAGGTAGTAGTTTGATTCCTACTTCTAGTGGGAACTGTAACCTTAACACCAACTTGATCACAGACCAACAGAAAGAAGGTATTTGTCTTAGGATGACCTAGCTTCACTTCTTACCTTTTAATGCATTTCCTTTTTTTTTTAAAAGATTTATTTATTTATTCATACAGAACTGGGGTACAGGCCAGAGATGCGGAGGGTGAGAGGATTCACCAGAGACAGAGTGGGGAGCAGAACAGACAGACTGACGAAGTACACTGCTGAGGGGAGCAGCGGGGCGGGTCAGGAGAGGTCTGCCACACCATGTGGTCACCTCCGGGGCAGGCGGGGATTGAACTCATGGGAAAGTGGCTTTAGCTTCGTAGTGCTGTGCTTCAACTCCCTGTGACACCAGGGAGGGCTGCATTTCCTTTTAATTGACTTACACTTCTCAAGATAACATTTGATGATAACAATGACAGACAGTGTAAGGCTGTCCAGAAAACATAAATATTACATCCTTTTCAAACAATTTTTCTCTAGGACATCAATAATGCCTTTCCTCTGATTTAGTATCATGAGACTTTGTCTTGTGGTAGCATTCTATTTCAAAATCCCCCTTCTGTGGGCAAGCCAGAAGAGTCCTGAACCTTCAAGTACTCACCCTGACATTGTGAGGATGCAGCCCTCCAGGATGCTGAGTCATATACTGGGCCAGGTCTGTGTGCTAGACCAAATGGTGGAGAGCAGAGTCAGCGATGCTTGGATAAGGTCCCACATCAGACCAGAGACTTTCTTGTCAGAGGGATTACAAAGTTTAAAATTTTTGAGAATAAGGTGCAAGAAGTACATGACCAGATTTTTTGAGACATTCCCCCCCCACCCCCCACTGTTATGGTGAAACACACTTTGTCTTTCTAACTGATTGCTCTAAGAAGGAAGCCTGTTTCTTAACACAAAGAGATGCTAATTTTAAATGACTGCTATTGTACACAATGTCACAGGGATTTTTCACTCTCCAGGGAGGTAAGTACACATACCTTGTGTTTCCTGCTTATTTGAAACTTTTCCTTTCAAAAATATGAGTTATTATTTTGGTAGACTTGTACAGCTTTTAAAACCCTTGGCGATTTACATCTTTATTGTTTGGAAAAATGTTGACTAATGCTCACATAATGATTAAAACAAGTGCAAAGTTTTACTTAGGGAGCAAAGTCAAAAGTGCTTCTTACTGCTGGTGATGGGGCAGGGGGGAAAACAGCAACTATATTGTATAAAGAAGCAGGACTAAAGAATGAGCACAAGAACAATAGTCTCTAGTAAGCACAATAATGAAAATTTCCATGACACTTTCCACATTGTTCTGAAAGTTTTATCATGCTATAAAATATTAACAGATTCATTATATGAGCACTAGTCTTTTTCTCTATTTTGTAAGATACTGAGGCAACTCACCATGTATTCAAAAACAAATGTCAGTGTCTCTTTGGTGTGAATTATGTCATGCAGGAGCACAACATTAGCATGTTTCAAACCTTTCAGGAGAGAAGCTAGAAAAATTAAACAAAATGTTAATTCAATCATTGATAATGAAAGTAGTCTTTAAAGATACTAAGCAATATTTGTTTTTAAAACATTTCAAATCAAGTCTTGTTTTTACTGATTGAAAATTCTTTTTTAAATAATATTTTAAATCACAAAGGACCTTCATTATTTGCTAAATGATGAATCATTGTATTTATATATCTTATTTTTTTACGATTAGATTAGCAGCAAAAAAAAAAAACACACACACACATGCTTCCATTTACCTAATCAATTTCATCAAAGCACTCAAAGCACTTTGCAAATGCTTTCCTTTGGGAATTTTATCATCTCTCTACTTCAGAGGTACAAAAGTGGAGGCCTGGAGATATAAAGGTCATTGGAAAGCAGGAAAAGGAGTGTCCTGCCTTCTAGAGCAGAACTTTGCAACATGTGACCATTCTCTAAAATTCAAAGTTCCATAGTGGGTCATCAGAGTCCATGGATGCAATTGGTAGTAGGCAGGTATAAGAGCAGTGAATGAATAATTCTTGAAACATAATAGAAAGTATAGCGATATCTTAAAGGAAGAGCCATAAACATCTATGGGAGGAAGAAGATTCAAGCATGAAAAGAAAAAGAGGCTTCAGGGGGTGAATGTGGGGGAGGGCCAAGGACTGCTTCTTGCATTTTCAATAAGCTCAGCTCTCACCATGGAAAAGAAAACACTTCCTTCCTGGTTACTATTAGGTGATTTAAGGAAGGGAGAGGTTACCTCAGAAAGTCATGAGTAGGTTGGAGAGGATTTGACTGGCTACTTTTAGGGGTTCAAAGATAGGAAAACACTCAGCTTCAGGGGTGTGGAGGCCAGAAAAGGCACAGTAAGGAAATGATGAGTCCCTCCAAATAGCATGGGCTGAGTAAGGAGACTGTCAGTTCCCCAGAGGAAAATAGGAGTGTCCCCACTAAAGACAGAATGGCTACTATAACACAAAACAACAGAGGATCATTACATGGTATCCCTCTGTGAAGAAATAGTGTCCTTCAAACTTAAAGGAAAATTTAAGAATCATAACTTCAGTGTTCTGCAGGGTATATCTGCATAACGTGAGTCTCGTATACCAATGCTCTGCCAGAATTCCATAAAATTAAAACATGCTCAAATATTTCCTTCAAATTTGGGGAGAAAATTACTTCCTTCAGCAATCTTAGCTTCTCTGCTGTTTTACCCTATGGTAGTCATTCTCTATTTAGTGGGGACACCTCTATTTTCCTCTGGGGAACTAACAACTCCTTACTCAGCCCATGCTATTTGGTCGAACTGATACCCTCCACTAGTGGATATGTGACCCAAGTCTGGCCAATCAGAGCACAGCAGCCCCATGGACGTAGTGACTCAGATAGTTACAGGCACAGGACCCAAGCCTGGGAGAACCCTACTCTGATGGTATAATCAGGGAGGAAGTGTTTTCTTTTCCATGGTGAGAGCTGAGCTTATACAATTCAGTTAGAAGCTGCCGTGGCCAGATTACCAACCTTGGTGAGAACAAGTTGGGGAATAAAACTCAAGCAGGAAAATCTGTCTTCCTTGGAGAATGGAAGGGCACAGATTCCTGGTGATATATAGAAAGATGGCTGCAAATCCACGGTTATCAGTTCTGTGAGCGGGCAAATTTCCTTCTTTGTGTATGTCAGCTCAAAGGTGGGAAACTCTTACCACCAAAGAGCCCTTATTATACCTGTAAACCCTCCTCTGCTCTAATGACTCATGCTAACTCTTACTTTTTGTCCCCTGAATCCTTATGAGCTAAATTCACCACTCCACTTTTACAAGTACATTGCTTTGTAAATGTAGTTTCATAGGCCTCTGTTTAATGTCCCTCGTCTGGGACTGAGGCTACATGGGAACAGAGGGAATGACTTTTCCTCTCTTCCGAAGGCTGCCACACCACCTAGAGCAACCCTCAGCCTAGAGTAAGCACTTAACTTATCAAGTATATTCATCAAGTGTCTTAACATCTGACGGTGGAGCCAGAAACTTTAAAGAGTCCCAGACCTTTCACTTTCTATCTGATTGAGCTCAGAGGGAATCTCAACCCAATTTTCAATCATCCTCTTAGAAAAAGAGATAACACCCTTTAAAACTTGACTTCACAGAGTTGACATGAGGATGGAGTCAGATTCCATGCATGGAACTCTTGGTTAATGTAAACCACCACACATACAGTTGCAAATTTTAATTAATATCCGAGCACTAAGCTCTTGCCCCACTTTCAACTCCCAGATTAACATCTTCAAATTTTATTTATTTGTGTTTCTGCTAGAGTGTTCAACACTGTCCATCGTTCCAATGGTTTCTGACCATTAGTTAAGGGTGCTTGTATTTTATTTTAATAAGTTACGGAGATGAATTTCTCACCGTCCTGTTCCCTCACCTCCAGCCACAGTATATAGCAAAATTAGATATTGAAGATATAGTAAAGCTGAAACTGCTAAGAATATTAAGATATTTAAAATATATTTTTAGTCTCTCTGAAGTATATTACTAAAGTTTCTGATGTTTACTTTTAAAATCATGATGGCATGTTTTGTATAATGGCTTCATATTCTCTTTTGTCCAACAGTTCAAGGAATAAACATCTACTTAGGATGAAGCTCACGGCTAACAACAGTGGGTATAAATCTTTATTTTAAATGGCTTTCTTGATAAGTTTTGTTTTATAAAAGTAGGAAGAGTGTTGGTTTTGGCATTTCTCTGTTGTTTCCTTATATCTGCATGATTAGTCTTATCTTTGATCTATGATTTCCTTGCAGAAATCTCTTTAAACCATAAATCCTTCTGATGAGGATTCACCACTGCAACAAATGCAACATATTTTCTCAGCTGCTCATTGAATTCAACAGCAAGCCTACTGTCAATTCTAGGGAAAACGTGTCTACAACTCCCCTTCTTGCCACCTCCCCTACGATCATGCCGGCCAGCCACCATTATGTCCAGCCACCATTATGAATTACTTCAAGTATCTCCTGCCTCCTTCGTTTCTGTAGTCTCTTTTCCACAGCCATCCACTGTGATCCTTCTTAAATGGATCTCCACGCATATCCCCCTCCTGATTCCAAACTCTCCCTCACAGTAGGATCTAAAAGACCTGCAATGGCCACCATCTCGGTGCCTCCCTGCCTTCATCAGTTCACAGTCTCACCCTTGCTCACTTGGTTCTGGCCACATTGCTCTTTAGCTGGTCCTGAGACACTTCCAAACACATTTCTCCCCCAAGACTTACAATAACTATTGTTTCTGCCTACGTGCTGATCTCATCTCTCTGCATGTTTTCTCCAGGTTTTTACTCAAATGATACATATGGTCTGGGCTTCCCTGACACCCTCTGGGACAGAGCAGCCCCCTTCATCTGACTACTCAGTGATCTTCTGTCCCTGCGCCCTGCTTTCTTCTTCTCCACTTGTCATCCCTGATATCTGATACATCTATTTATCGTCTGTCTCCATCCTTGAGAATATAACACCCACTGCAAGCAGGTGCTTCTGTCTTTTTTTTGCTTATTGTTATATCCATAGTGCCTAAAACAACGGCGGTATACTGTAAGCACACAATAATATTTATTATTGACTAATGTCACTAATCACCTGCTCTCATTTCTATACCTATATAGGTTGGCGTAGGTTATTTCTGCTAAAGATGATTTTATTTCCTGTTTCTTTGAGTTGTCTTCTTCCTTAGATTATAAACACTGTGGTATGGTCACATGTATTACTGCTTTTTTAACACCTCAGAACTACTGAAGTATTCATATGGAAACTGTGAATATTAATGAGTGATAGTGGATAATTTGTATCACAAAGTAGGTGATGTCTAAAGCATCTAACTTTTAGTATTCATATATAGTTTGTTTTAATCACTGGATGGTTCTAAAATGCCTACAACATCAGGTATGTGGGTCTTGTATCCAAGAAGGAAAAATCTTCTGATTTCAAGGTTACTTCATAAACTTCAGAGTAAAATGTCATGTGTCCTGCAGGATAATCAGCTGAGAGATGCAAAGGCCAACTGAGAAGGGAAGAGATCCTAAAAATCAGCATTCTGATTTCTGGGAAATTTTTTTTATAATTCACATGTTCTAAATATAGTGGTTCTATTTTTCTTCAAAGAAAAGACACAAGGATAAACCAGGGAGTCTTTCCAGACAAATGGAATGACTGTGAGCACTTCTAAAAAACTTTTATAATAATGGTAATAATGGTTAGGATTCATTAGGCATTTACTGTATGCCAGGCATTGTTTTAAGAATTTTACATATACTAATTTGGTATGATTATCAGGAAACCAAAGAGAAAACCAGGAGAAAACATCATCCCAAAAATCAGGGAAAATGACCCATGACCAATGTCACCCAGCTCCTTTTAAAAATGCAAAGTATTTCTTTATGTTTTTTAAATGTCCAAGAAGGTATCCTGAGTGACCAATTGTTTAAACATTGAATGGAATTTAATCTGCTTTTCATATAGCTAAGATATTTAATAATTTTTTCTAATTATCACTTTCATCTTGTAATGATAGGAAACTTTAAATTCTTGATTTTATCAATTCTGTTGGGGTTTGTAGCTGAGGGAATTTTGGTAAATCTGATGCTTTGTAAGTACAATGTGTCATGACGTTTTGATGTTTCTCCACTCTGGTCTATAAAAGATGTTGAAGACAGGAAAGAACAGAGCCGACTCTCAAAGTCCTGGAATATGGCTCTATGTAGGGAGTGCCTAATAGTCAAAGGCCCCTAGAGAGTGAGCTCTTTGAAGGCATGGATTGTCCCTGACCTGTTTTTGTGTCTCTAACACCTAGCACAGGCCTGGCATATGAGCCTTAATAAGTACTTGTGAATTCATAAAGGTCAGACAGTTGTAATACGTTTATATAGGAGTTCAATAATGAGGATATTCCCACCTCCAACCCCCTTTGGGCAATCATTTAAAAAAGAGTGTTAGTTGCTCTTTTTGGTTGTCACAAATCATG